GAGCCGTCATCAGCAGCTCTGACCCTGCCAAAGTGTTGCTCATCTCGAAACTTCACCCGTAGGAAGTGACGATCGAGCTGACTATACTTTCTGAGTATGCGGTTGGACATCTCGACTGTGGGCGTGTGAAAGTACATGGTCGTCGGTGTGATTGTAGCTGATTGGAGCGCAATACAGTAGGATGGCGGAGCTGGTCTGAAGGCTTTCACTTCGTACTGGTACTTGAAGATGTCCGTGGGATCGACGAAGTGCTGTTTGAGGCCTGCGATGTGCTCGAGGAGATATTGTGCCATGCCTGGGGTCCCAGTATCGTTGTCTAGTGACTGCAATCTGGTGGCAAAGGCATGGTTCAGGTTGTACTCGCGAAGGTAGCCATGGCTGATGCAGACCTCAAGTTGGTACATGAGCTTGTACGGGAGATGAACTTGGCCGTCAGCCAGATGTAGCATGGCTAGTGACGACGAGATGCCGCTGATATGTTCAACTGGGGCACTCAATGACTTGTGTAGCCATGCCCATGGCTTACACGCTGGTGCCGCGATGATTGTGAGGTCTCCGGTGTGTCGAGGGACATGTAGGAGCGCCGACATATCTTTCCATTGATTTTGATGTGTGAGATCCCGAACGACCAGGCAGTATGTGAGCCATTGGCCTGGATCAATTCCATGAACGAATGACTGACGTTGCCAATTTCGAGTTGAGAGAGATTGGCAGGATACGTGTGGTGGTAGGTTCATCTGTATGACGATCTCCAACGCATCGCCCCTCTCTCGTTGATGTGTGCATGATACCTGGGCCAGTTTCTGCTTGAAGCGATAATGTAGGCGGCCAGGTGGAGGTCGATGTGCGTGTGATCTCAGCTCGTTTCGTTGTAGGTTGAGTTGCAAGCATGGCTCAGCACCGATACCGCGTGTGACTTCTTGTTTGTGTATGATCAAGAGGTCGTCCCTCGGCATTGTGCCTACACCAATGGCAAAGCCCTTACAGACAAGCCTGTCGTCCATAGCTGTACGCACTGTGAAATGGAATGGAAAGATGGAGTGTTCTTGTAGAGAGTGACCGTATTGTAGGTTGTGCTCGTGGTCTGTGCGTGTGGTATTCAGAATGGAAGGAGCATGTGCACGAGATAAATGAACATCATGTGCAGTGGTGGGAGGTTCAGAGAATATGGATTTCTTACTTACAAACGTGCATCGTTTGCTCGTGACAAGCGAGCAAACATCGTAAGGCGACGTCTTTCGAATCACACTGCCGCAGCCAAGCATACGTACGCTTCATATCATGTCCTCCATCTGAGGTGTGCTCATCAATAGGTCATCGCCGTTGAAGACAGTCTCGTTGAGATCCTCCTCCCAGATTTTAGACACATGTCCCTTGCTTGTGTGACGCCTGCTAGGTGAGACGTTTGCAGACATTGCAGTGAGCGGACGCCGCCGAGATGAGGCATTGGAAGGTAGAACATCGCTGGTCGCCCTTCGAAGGACGCTTGTAGGCTGAGGTACGACAGTCGATACACTGGCGGACTTGCGATGCGTGTGTTTGTGGCTTCGAGCTTCTGGCAGAGCGCTTGCCTTACCAGGCTTCGGATCCGCAGTGGATGTTGTTGAGTCATCATCTCGTTCGAGGCCCTGCTGAGCTGGTCTGATACCCATTGCTGCAAGCATGTTGTCATGGACAGTACTGAGCCTGGCGATCTCTTCGTCTTTGGTGATGCACATGCTTTCCAGCTTCTCGATCTGCAGCGTGTCAGCAAGAACAATTAGTGAGGTGGCAACAAACCTTGATGGTGTATTCGTGGATCGTAGCATGTGCCTGTACGACTTCATCCTCAACCTCGGTGCGCTTTTCTTGCGCTTCGGTGAGTTGGTCTTGGAGCGCTTGTAGACGTTCGACATGTTGATGTTGCTGCCTGCTCAAGGCTCTCTCGTGGTCGGCTGATATTGTCTGCAATGCAGCAGTGAGTTCATCATGTGCTTGCGACTTCAGCATGGATAGACTCTCGGTATGTCGTTTGATTTGTTGTTGCACCTCAGCCCTCGATTCATTTCTTGCGTTGGTCAAGTTGTTCAGCGTCAGAGTATACTCCTCATGTGTACGAGCAGCTTTCTGGTTCTGCTCTTGTAGCTCTATCGTCAAATTCTCCACGGTTTTCATGAGCCTGTCTGAGGCATACTGACACTCTTCATGCTCTTTCTGCTGATGAGAAAGCTTCTCAAGTAGATCGTCAACCTGAGATTGCTTCGTGGCAAGCTCGATGGAATACTCGAGCATATCTGCAGAGTGCTGTCGCTCGAGGTCTTGTACCTTCAATGCATGCTGCGAGGCCGCTTGTTCGATGTGTTGGGCAGACTCTGCAAGTTTCGAGCTCAGGCTGTCGTTCTCCACCAGCATTGACTGGAGCTCGGTGGCCACGAATGTATGACGGTCTCTTTCTTGCTGAACGAGCTGTTCAAGCTGCGCAGCCTTCTCCAAGATGTTCACATTGCTTGCGGACACTTCTTCGTAGCGGTCTTGTAGTGAGTGATACCGAGCTCTCTCCTCACGTAATGGCTGCTCTACTTCCGCACAGCGCCTCTCGAGATCCTGCCATCGATCGTGGAATAGATTACGTATGCTGTCTCTTTCTGCAATGAGCCTGCCCTGTAGATAGTCGTCCAGAGCATCCTGCCAGTCATGAACATTGGAGGTCACTGATATGGGCTTGTATACCGAACGCTCTGGCGTTGGTAATGCGTGAGAGCATGGCTTGGTGGACTGGTGAGTAGCAGCATGCAACTCCAGAATGACGTCGAGAGCCGTGTGGTGTTGTGATGAGCGAGTACGACAGATAGCCGCTTTGAGCTGCAGAGAGCACAGTCGAGCGATCATGATGTTTCGCTGTGCGACGAAGTGAACGCTGCATGCACCATCTTCTCTCAAAGTCACACCTGTCTGTCTGACCAGTGTCAGCAATTGCGAGTACTGTGCAGCAGTCGACTGGTGTGCCATTGTTGGGATCGTGTCTGGCAACAGCAGTTGTGTGTCGATGAGCTTGACGATAACGTCTAGAGCTCGAATGAGAGCTGTTGTTGACTGTTGAGTGAGCTGATCCCGGAGGATGACGTCCGGTACGAACTGTACAAAGCCAGTTAGTGCTGAGGGTGCGACAGTCATGAAAAAAAGTTGGAGATCGTTGTCCGAGAGTGGTAGGAGTAGCTCTGCAAGCTTGAGAGGCTCTCCTAGCTGCGTTGACCATGTTGACTGCACTACCTGCGGTGCCATAAACGGGCTCTGCAGATTGCTCAAGAAGAGCATGGCTACAATCCGTAGTTGATCTGCAACACCAGGCTGTACGACTTTCTCTTCCAGCTTGCGAAGGATGGCGACGTTCGTCTTGCACCATCCTTCACGTATGCTTGGTGATATGTGCTTAACGAGCTCGTTGGACAGGTGAAGAGCCTCTCTTGCTTCGCTGTTCTCACTACGACAAGCCCACAGAGCTTTCAGCACCACCAATTGCAAAGTCTTGGGTGCCTTGCGTCCGGTGAAGTAGTCGTTAAGCTTGGTAGGTACCCAGTGGGGTGTACCAGTGATGAGATCGTCAGCATTGAAGGAGCTGATGGTCTTGGCCGGACTGATTGCGCCAAGCATGCAGGTCATGGTCGACAAGGCATACAAGGCAAAGCAGTTGCCATCAGCAGACTGAGTACTATTCACAATGCTCAGGAGTCTGCGCTCGATCTTCTCCAGCGTCTGGTGTGTGAGCAGCGTCGTCAGTGGTCGAAGTGCTCCGTTCATCAAGGTATGAAGTCTCTTGACGGCTTGCTCGGTAGGAGAGCTCGCTGTGTGGTCTAATATGTCGAGAAAGAATGACTGGCACTGTTCTGGAAGTGCCACATCTGGTGGAAGTGGATGCGATAGGATGGCAAGGACCGCATCGTGCTTGTCTTGTGTGATCAAGTCATAGAGAAGCTTTGGCTGCTGCTGTAGGAAGGTATCTCGAATAGTGATGTTGTGGCAAAGGATAGTGATAAGCTCGGTGATGTATGGCCAAGAGGCGGCTGAAAGAATGGCTCTTACGAGTGATGGGATCTGACATGGCCTGCTTGCCGTCCATATCGCGATCTCATGCTGTGAGCAGCGCGTGCAGATGTCGTGCAGTGTCTGCTGGTAGTGTTAGCTGTGATCAAGCTTTGCATCGTAGATTTACACTCAGCTGCGTTTGATACCGGCTCCCGACGATCCTGTCTATCTCGGCGGTGAGCGATACCATCGTCGCAATGGGGAGTATTGTTACATGTCCCTGTCGCGACCTATATCGTCAGAATTGTGCACGGCCGTTGCGTGGGCAACGACGTGTTGCTCCGGTCGACGATGACTTCAGCCCTATGTTGGCGTTGGATTTCATCGATCCAGATGAAATACATGGTGTGTTATTGTTCTTGAGCACGATCGCTACTTGTAGTCTATGCTCAGCTAGATTGCCGATTTCGACCTGGGCATTTCAAATAGCTTCACAGCTGTAAATGCGTGCTATAGAACTGCATGGGCGATATAGAGCCCATCTGAACAATGCCACAACGACCTGAGATATATGAAGTGCTAGGACTGTCTTGGAACATGCTCCGAACGCTCATCTCAGAAGTCAGATTCAATGTTGAAGTGTAGGGAATGTCGCCTGATCTGTGATTTAGAATGGTTGTAGGAGTTCCCTGACTCGCGTGTGCAAGCTTACGCTCTTGGCAATCAACATCTTTAAGCACTTATAACTCCTCTAGCTTGAGCCAGACCGTGACACGTGTATGACAGCTTCGCTAGAGCTCGATGCTAGCTTCAAGTGCACTGAGTTTCCAGGGTAGCGGAGTTCATTTAGAGCTACAACGAGTAGGCAAAGATGACCGCCTCAGATGTTCTCAAATTTGCTTCCCGGGATGTGCTAGACAGTGGAGAGACCCTCCTCTCCTGGAGGGACAAAGCGTGCTGATCATCATACTGAAGTTTTTGGCCCGGATGTTTATCTCTCCTTAATAGTCCAGTGGCTAGGATATCTCGCTTTCATCATCTGGTCTTAGACCAGACGAAAGCTGCCGAGAAGACCGGGGTTCAATTCCCCGTTAAGGAAGCTATTTTTGACCTTTTGATGCACAATCAGATAGACCTGAGTATGCTCCATCTTCTCCTGCAGGTTTGGACGTGTTTGGAGCTGTATTGAGACCGTGATGGTCATTGGGGAGTTTGTGTGTAATGGATGAGGTGGATTTCAACCCTGACTCGCGCATATTAATTTTGAGCTTCATACCACACGTGCGACGCTGGTGCAATCAATACGAGACTTAGACCTAGACACGCGTTTGCATAGCTGAGCAGTCGTGATCCAGCACCACCAACATCAGCTACGAGTCTACGGCGTCGTCCTCAACGATAACCTTGCACTAAACGTACATCACTTTGAACACGAATAAGCGACAAGCCTCGATTAAAAGTTCCTATTTTTACGGATCTTCACGTTCAGGTTACTTCGTGCAGTCGTACCCAGCCTGTGGACCGTATCCCTCCTCTGCCAAACAGCACTCCTGCCTTCGATCACTGCAACGAGCTCCTCAGCGACTTTCTGTGGGAACATCATCTTGCCACTGCCTCGACTGGTCTTCTTAGAGGCAGCCTCTAGAATCCAGTTGAATGCAATCCGTCTTCGTTGTCTGAGACCAAGTGGCACAGGCAGCTGCAAAGCCACACCACCACCGGCGGCACCCTTCTGACTTCGGATTCGGATCAGAGGTGCTATTGAGTCGATAGCCAGGGTCAGATAAGCCACCGGGTTGAGAGGGAGATGTGCGGCAGGTGGTGCGCCAGGAAGAAGAGGTCGTGAAGGTGAAAATGTAGGAGCAGGGTTGGTACGCAGGATACTGAGGATATGTGCCATCCATCTTTGAGCTCTGGCGAGCTTACCATGTGTCATCAGCAACTTTGTAAGCTGGATCACAACTGGCTCATCTCGATGGTTTCTGCCGTCTCGAGCTGGAATCGGCAGAGTCGGGAGGTCGAATTTATGCCCGGGATGCTGCACTGCTAGTGCTGATTGATACGCTGCGCGCTGTGTCTGAGTTGGTATCATTGCTGTGTCCAACTCACCAGGCTGCTCACCAGATGTCAATTCCGGCTGCATGCGCCTTGCGTATGTTGAGAATGATCGTTTGCCAGTGGCATCTTGCTTCATGACCTTTGGCGCAGATTTCTTGAGCTCTGGTTCTTCTGCAAGGATCTTCTGTTGTCAGATTCTGATATAGTCTCATTCGTATAGCCATACCTCTTGCACTGGAGTGCCTTGGCCTTCAATATCTGGTCCTTTCTCGCCCATAATCTTGGCCATCTTCGCTGCCTCTTCACTGACATGCTCTGCTTGTTGCATGTTTGGACCGACCTCTCCTGCGGCCTCTGGGAGCTTGCTTGCATCATTGGTGGCTTTATCTGCGAATCCACGCTGTGCAACGACTCTTCTGACGCCAATGACAGCACCACGAGCTCGACAAGGGCGGGCGGCGCGAAATGCGAGCGTGCAGACAACGCCAATGGATGGTGCTGGCGACATTGTGATGATGGTGATTGTGTAGTATGGAAAGAATCAATGCTGGTGCATTTGGTCTTGGCGAAGTGAGGACAGGTGGGACGCATCCCCTTTGGGCGTTGTTAGACTGTGAGCACATGTTTGACCACTCCTACTCGCCTGAACGCATCAACTACGTTACTCATGCTGATTGCTGCTGTACCGACCTATGTGGGTTGCCGTAGCAAGTACTGTTCAACGACAAAAGACACGGCGATGCTCTTTCATGTATGATATACACTACTGAGGACTCAAGAGCAGGGTTGCGATACACTATCGCCATGAACCAAAGCTACCCTCAAGACATAGTCATGCTAATGTACAGATACATCTGACCTCTACAAGTTCAGGAGACACTGCCCAGCAACAACCAACACCGCTGCGAAAGCAACAGTCGACAGACCACTGCTTAATGGCACAGCTGCACCCTTGTACGTGCTTGTCGATGGCGATTCGCCACTGCTGGTGTTCGTGGATCCAGGCTGCGATGTGCTGTTACTCGCTCCTTGTCCAACACCACCAGCCTTGGATGTGCTCACACTACCGTCAATCAACAGCAATGACTGGATCACACTCAGAGCATTCAGCTCTTCGCCAAGCCCTGTCATGTTATCGTTGGTTCCTTGCCAGCTGAAGCCACATGTGGTCTCGTTCGCTCCTTCATCGCATGATTGAGCAGCTGCTTTGGCCGAGGAAGTGAGAACAGTGTTGACTTGATCGTGGATGAAAGGAGACAAGATTGAGGCCTTTGCTAGCCAGCGAGCAGCAATGCCCTTAAAAGCGATTTCATCAGTGTTACAATTGTGGTTCGATTCACATGCTTGCTCCGTCAAGCTACTCAGTCAGCTTGGATCGATCTGCAGCGGGACAACTTACACATTGGAGTACTTGCTGGCGAAGGTTCCGACTGTGGCGTTCGTGAGCGTAAGTACACGGTCTCTCCACACAGAGGAACCGTTGGTGTAGTTGTAGAGCACTGAGGATCCGAACACTATACCTGCTCCATTGTATGACCAGGCGAGATGGTTAACGCTGCTACAATTTGTTGTAGAATCTGTACCATCGTAGACGTTGCCTTGAGAATCAATGAGTCCAATTGAGCTGAGCCAGTTGTAGGTTGTGTCGGCCCACTGCGAGTAAGTTGAGTTGCCTGTGATCCTCGCCAATCGAGCAGAAAGCAAGAAGAACTGCCCGTTGGTGGCAGAGTTCTTATAGTCGTAGCCATTGTTGAAGCTGTAAATCTGCCAACGGATTCCTCCCTGGCAAGAGGAGTTATCCCATCGCTTTGCTTGCTCGTTCCAAACGTTGGTAGCCAGCTCTAGCCAAGGTGGTGAACCTGCGGGATTGGGAAAGCCATATTCTACGGCGTCCAGGCATGCTAGGGCCCAGGTCGACTGGTCATCGTTACCCAAGTCTTTAGTCTGTGCTACAGGCATGTAATCATTGTTGGAGCCTTTTTGCGCTAGCAGTGCTTGTGACACAAGCGACTTGTAGGTACTGTCGTTGGTATAGATGTAGTAATCGATGAGCGCACCCCAAACAGCACCGTCCTCCCAGAAGTAGTACGGTGTGCCAAACAAGCCGATGGAGTCATTTGACGTGCTGTTGACAGGGTAGAGCTTGATCAGATCGCCGGCGATGGTTGTAGCTGCATTCTTGATGGAGTCTGAGGAGGAAGTGTCCAGGTCAAGGGCATTGACTGTCTGGCTGAGCACAGCTGCAAGGCTCACAACCTTGAGAAACAACGCCATAGTTGGTACAAGGTAAGAGGAAAGGTAGCAACGCTTGGTGTTTGAAGTACTGACAAAATCCTCGAAGGATTCCAGGCATTACGTACAAAGCGTTGTACGCAAGACGAGCGCTTCATCGTATTTGCCATCGCTTGTCCTTCGTGAACGCTCCCAGCATGGCAAGTCGAAACCAAAAGTCGTCCTTTTCTCGGACCAAGCACTCAGCTGCCTTTGCGAGCCAATGATCATCGTCATTCCGAGGATCACTTTGCAGGATCTTCGGTCGTGGCAAGTTGAGACCAAAATTCGTCCTCTTTTCGGACGAAGGCTTGGCGGCTTCCAAGCCAATGATGATCACCGTTCGACGATCGCATGGCATGATCCTAGGTCAATCGAGACACAAGCGCGCTTATGCTCATTCTCCAACCTCGTATTCGGCGATGTACGAGTCAGTCGGGATGCTTATGCCCATCGAGGCACCTCTGCGCCTCCGGTAGTGAGCCGCAGTCGCCTATCTCATCAAGTCAGCAATCCTGCTCCTGGCCGAGAAGTCATAACGCTCGTAACGACAAGACAAACATCCTTGATAGGTCTTGTCACCTTCGCGACCACGCATAAGGCGTTATGGGTAATCTGTGATACAACAGGTGGAATTTGTACGAGGTTCATCATCGAGCAATGCATTCTATGTCAACGACTTGCAGGATCTCTCTGTGGTATGTTTGGTCAACGCCGAAGTGGCAGCCATAGATGGAGACCTCGTCAATGCTCAACCACGTCGCTGAACTCTCATAACCAATGAGTGATCAGCTGAGGCCAAGTCCGAAGTATCGAGCTACAGCACACCAGACAGCCGCAGTGACGGACAAGACTACGACGTCGGCGACACTCAACTGTCAGCCGGTCTCGAATGGAACAAGGCTATTGAGGAGTTTCGTAAGTGGCATTGACGGGTGGACGCCTCGCTAGGTATGTCCTCTACTGCTTAGATCCAGCCGCAATGATCGGTCGTTATGATCATACTTTGCACAATGAAATCAATACTCTGCCGTTTGGTCTTGGAAGACAACAGGATCGAATGCAGCCCGTTGTCTGTCTACAAGAGTTCCTACGGCTCATCGCAATCGTCCTTGCTCAGATCAGTGGCACAGCCGACTGGCCGACACCTACATGCCTCACACATCCTTCGACAGGAGACCTTGTCGTTGTGTTGGGCTGCGGCATGATACTTGCATTGTGACAAGCTTACGAGCTTCAGGCGCTTGACGGCTTCTACACACTACGACGACGATTGACACACCTCATTACACCCTACCTAGCACCTGCCGCTCATGGCCGTCACAGTGGCACACCACGCATGACGACAGATGCTATCTGACTTCGCTTTCCTGGTATGTATCAGCTTTTCATGATCTCGCCTCGAGCATCGTAATGCTCAATCTCAGCATGAGGTACATGGCAATTTCTTCTTCTTAATCTTCTACTGTCCTCTTCTTGCGCCTTTCGCTGTCCGTTTGCCTGATTACTCACATGCTCGTCGACAGCACTACTAGCAATCAGATATCATGGTGGACGTGACAGCAATCGCAATCCTCGAGCATGGCGCGGATGCATCCATAATGGGGTCTTGAGGCTGTCGTTATCATCCGCCCTGCTCATGCTGTTTCATAAGCTCGCACGCTGGCCATAGTACATACAGGAAAGCAGGCTTACCGTTCTAGCACCAAACCGCTCGAGTGGTGCAAGATGTGTAGCTGGCAGATATGAATATCGTGGGAGGAGTAGAAT